AAAGATTAGCTATTAACTTTCACATCCCAGAAAAATTCCTAAAAACGAGAACCAAATTCACGCAGTAGGGGATATCTAGGTTAAAATCAAATCGGGATGTTATAAAGTTCTAATTCAAATGAAACATCTACCGTTAGTTGAATATCACTGTTTTAGATCTCTAGTCACAATCACGTGAAATAGGGAATTAAATAAATTATTTTGTGGCACTGTACAACTTAACAGGCTTTAAATAAGGATAATGCAAAAGGCAAAGCATTGTTGTGATTCAGTGATATAATCAATTGAGAAAAGAAATTTACAGATGGGTGAACTTAACTGAATATGATGAGGTTTGCTATTCAAAAAAATCATCTCAACAATGATTGATTAAAATCGCCATCGCAATATTCTAACACGCTAATGAAAACAGATGGGCCAAAAAGCAAACTGATAACGAACCTAAATAATGTATTAAAGGAAATCACAAGAACAGGGAATGATTGGTTGAAAAAGATGAATAAGTAGAAAAAGACGGAAATATTCTATGAACTTGAACTGATTATCATGTAATTTTCTTAATAAAAACAGCTTTGTGATAATCATTTCTGCATCACTTATGTTGCAACATTTTAAGAGTATAAAATATGAGGAAACAGCTGTAACAGATTATACCTGCTTAAGTGAGATTTATGAAAGCGAATTAAGAAAGAATTGAGATGACATTTTAGTTTACTGCATTGATTCTAATAACACTGAGAAAATTTGTGCTTCCCAAATGGTTTCGGAACAAAAATCTTCAATTTCATCCCACTCATTTTTCTCCAAAGAAAAAATTTTATTTAGTTTTATGCTTAAAATTTAAAATATATGAAATATATTGATCTGATTTTCATTTTTATTACAATTAGTATGCTGCTCCAAAATGAATCATTTTGCAAAGGTCTCCCCCCCACATATCTGTTATAATTAACCGATAGCTCCTTTATGAGCTAAGAATTCCAATAAGGTTTCAATTTCTACGTTAATGTTGGCAGTAGCACGACCAATTCGTTGAGCGATTTCATTCGTTTCACCATCATCAAATGACCGACCACAAAACGATGCCACCATTGCTTGCGCATTTGCATCATCACTTAAATTCACATAATTAAAAAAGTAAATTACACCATCTATTTCCTATACTGTCCGGAAAACATGGTCTCACTCGAGAATACTGCAGATATTCGTCTGGCTCTAGTTCTTGTCAACATCAACAGAACACTTTCGTTCTCCCATCTCGGAAAAGCCAGTGAACAACGCATTTTTAAATTTAATTTGTAATATTAAAGTAATTAACTGTAACCTAGCAACGGACATATTGCTCCCATTCTTGTGCTTATCCGAATGCCTTAGTAATAGCTTGTCACGTAACTCGAGCATATCAATGAAGCTACGGCGCTTGCTTGGCGTTGAACGAATCTTATGCGGTGTTGCTGTCAGATCCAACTAAAAATTAAAGGAACAAATATCGAGTAGTTCTAGAAAAAATTTAAATTTCAGAATGAATATTTCCGAAATTCCTAACAACGTTTGAGATATCCATTATAATATAACGAGAGAGAAATTTGAAATATGCCTTATCTCTTTCCAAAATATCTTAATCAGTGAAGCAATGTCATTCGTACTTGTTTCAATGCATTGTTCAGTTCTCCACACTTTGTTCGAATTTCCGAATAGTGCAGGATAGTGTTTTTAACGATTTCATGTATTTCGGCAACCCAAAACTTCATTGACAGACCGAGCGCACGCCTACACTCGTTGATAAATGACTGAGATTGCGCTACTGCTTTATCAAGATTGTGACTGTTCCATAACTGAATATGAAACGCATATAAAATTCCTGCATTGCATTTGAATCACCTGACTTCGTTTTAATTAGCTCTCGAGTTATTCCAATTGTTATAAGCTTCTATTTACTTGAGCAGCATCTGGATAACTCTGCAAAGGAAGAAATTTAAAAGATATATATATATATGTACCTGCAGATATTCTCCTTTGTGATCAGCGTGTGGAGTCCAGTCCATCACTGCAGACCAATCCTTGAGCAATAATGGTTCGACCTAAATATTAGTGTCGCTAACCAAAAAAAGTAAACAGTTCCAAAAAAACCAACAAAAGATTTTCTGTTTTTTTTCTATATAATAATGTCACAGCGAAAAAATTCAAATGTTAAACGTCATGACCGAGAAGTTTATTTCGCGTAAAATGGATGAGCATTGAAAATCCCAAATTCTCATGAAATATTTCACTAAAATTCGGATAATCAATCACAGCGAAAAGAAAGTCGAGCTAATATAAATAAAATTTAGAAATAATATAAAATAATACAAACAAAATCTAATATAAATAAGTCCGAAAACGAGTTTGAAAACGCAAAAGCAAACTTTTATGCCAGCCTGAAGCATGCAGAGAATACCCTGCTTCGTATAGAGATCACCGCGGTTCAAATGTGGATATAAAAATTTGACAGTCATTTTAACATCCACTTTACTAAGCTCCTTGCGGATTTTAGACAGTAATAAACCCAGCAACTTTGCGCAAGCTTTATTGCTCTTGCATTCATCCACCACCTCACATTTAGGATCACAGTCCTGGTGAAAACATGGACTCTTGGATACGTATATCACTGCTTCGAAGAGATCCACCTACAACGTTGCATTAGCTTCTTTTTATGTCTTTTTTTCATAAACAGCTTTATATCTTTTTTTCAAGTCAGGTAAACTCAAAAAATAAAATAATTAAATTAAGCGATAAAGAGAAAATTAAAAGCAATGGACCTTATATTTAGAAATGAGATCATAAATGGCAGCAACGAGTTGCTCTTCAACATGAAGCTCACTTCGGCTTTCATGGTAGAAATCACCCCGATATATGTAATCATCGCCGATTAGTGTAAGAATCATTCCACTACTCTCATTCTTATGTTCTAGGAAGCAACTTTGCACATGTTTCGGGACATGAAATTTCGATGGCCCATTTGTACAGTCACCATTGCACTTGCAGCTAAAATATAAGTCCATAACGAAATCACATTCTGCAGTTCATAATTCTTGCAATTAAATCTGATCTGAATTCAATTCCTGACAAATAAAGCAGTGATAATAAAAAGGCAGGTAATTGAATTCATACCTGCTGTTACAAAACTCATACATTATGCGACATGGACACTCTTTCTTCACGCATTGTTTTTTTCCTTTAGTGCACTGACAACCTTGTGTTGACTTCGCACTCTGCAATACTTCTGGTTTATGATGAAGAATCATACACACGTAAGCAGCACCTGTGACCGTTATACTAAGAATCATTTCTCAGTGCCACTTCTGGATTTGTCAGAAATTCCTAGCTAAAATGGGCACTGATTTTTAAACAAGCTTATAGGAAGATGAAGTGTTATATATAACAGTTAATTTAGAAACTAATAGTTTGGAACCTATCTCTTCATTGGAGAAACAGGTTCCTATTTAAAGAATGTTGAAGATCCTTTACTGTAAATGGATACCTTGAGCACTTTTTTCTGCGGCTCCTTATTCTTACATATCTGTTTACAGGCACAAAGTTTACTACACGGTTCCTTGATCCGCAAGCAGTCACATCGTTCCGATTTGGAACATGCATTCTTTGCCGGTCTTGCTGGATCGGTTTCACATGAACATTTGCATATTGCTTGATTGAGGCAATCACCACGGTACCTGCATTAGGAACATCTGAGCAAATCTCAACTTTTAATTAGAAAATAAATATTGCAATTGTGTTCTAATTGGCGGATGAATGTTGTAAACAGTAGACTACATCTCTAACAGATTTGTGAAAATAAAAATTAGCAAATTTTCATTATTTTCTTAAGTGAGACGTTACAGCATCAGTTTTCTCACGAGTCAAAAGCTCAAAATATTTGAAACATCGACTATCTAATAGAGACTTTCCAAGCCTTTCTGGTTCTTAACCAAAGCGCTATTATCCTAGTTACAGCTTTCACTATTTCCTTAATGAAGAAGTAAGAATGTTGAGTATACATAAGACTATTACAACTGTTCTACATATCAGTTTCCTTAATCGGCAGGCTTACTAAAATTATTAGTAGTTTAAATTGACCAATTCTCACCAACAAAGAACCTATTCTCGAATTACTAAGTTCTTACGAAATGTTGTGATGGTTTCTGGACTTCAATCAGTATAAAATATTAATTACAAACTGTGACGTTAGACAACGGACAATTTATGATCAGCTTATTTGAAAATAATGATTACATATGTGTGTATATATCTACGTTATGTATACTTAATAGATCTTTTTCTTTTGGTCGACTTAATTTTAAGTTATTCAGAGTTTGTGGTGAAGAGAAAACAATGTAGCTAAGATGACCATTTATACCCTCCGCAAAGGGGTATGCCATTTCCTAAAAATTCCGCTTAAAATAATAGTTAAAGCAAAAAGAGGTACCGTGCTGGCTTGTTTCAATCAACTGAACAACACGAGTTAATTCAGTGCAATGCCTAGTGGAATTTCTCATTTCTGAACCATTAAAATTGCAGAAAAAGCACCAGTGAGTGATTGAAAAAAATAGAAATTGACAGTACCTTGCTGATTCACAATGCTCATCGCACATACGTCGTGCACCATAACATGGACAGGAATCCGATGAACACCGGTTCTGTGCCGTAAGACAATCACAACAGAACTGAGACGAAGCGGCCGGTTTGCTCATGGCTGAAACCGCCTCTGCTCGACTTTGGCTCCAGATCGATACGTCACACTTAGGGGATGCTTCAAGTAACTCTTGCAATTGAATTCGTCCAATGTTCACACTCTAAAATACAATTGGCATACCAGTCTCTCCCTCTACATCTTAATCATTTCCTCATGATGAAAAGACATACACATAACATGTACATAATGTGATCAAATACGTACACACAAGTTTAGCCATTGGTCCTCATTAGAATTCTATTTTTGCAATTACTTGTAAAGAAGTGTCGTGATGCTGCAACTAGCGTCTCGATTGCGACGACTCTTGGCACAGCCTTGCCCTCATTGTGCCTATTCGACCACATCAAGCGTTAAAACCACCAAGCATAAGAGCTTTCCTTTCAGAATATGCTTTTTTAATTGTGCCAATGAGATAAAGCCAACACATTACATGCGCCGTATTCTTTTCCCAGAGTATTCGCCCCGAACATCAAGATTCTTACTCAGTGCACCATTTTACCCGCGAGGTACCGTCTATGTAACCCTTGTATGTAAACATGAGTTTGTCACCATTCTGTTCAGTTCAACTTTGACCACAACGTAAGTTTGCAAAGCATCACTTTACAATGTATATTTAATTTTTTATTTCTCAAGTAAAGAAACGAATTTTCCCCTATTTATATAATTAAAATATAGGGTCTTCCATGTATTTCATTAAGCGCCGTTAATTATTTGCCTGAAATAAGTTTTCTTACTATGCCACATTGAGATAAGCATGATGCAATAGTTTTCCAATAATAATAATAATAATAATAATAATAATAATAATAATAATAATAATAATAATAATAATAATAATAATAATAATAATAATAATAATAATAATAATAATAATAATAATAATAATAATAATAATAATATAATAATAATAATAATAATAATAATAATAATAATAATAATAATAATAATAATAATAATAATAATAATATAATAATATAATAATAATAATAATAATAATAATAATAATAATAATAATAATAATAATAATAATAATAATAATAATAATAATAATAATAATAATAATAATAATAATAATAATAATAATAATAATAATAATAATAATAATAATAATAATAATAATAATAATAATAATAATAATAATAATAATAATAATAATAATAATAATAATAATAATAATAATAATAATAATAATAATAATAATAATAATAATAATAATAATAATAATAATAATAATAATAATAATAATAATAATAATAATAATAATAATAATAATAATAATAATAATAATAATAATAATAATAATAATAATAATAATAATAATAATAATAATAATAATAATAATAATAATAATAATAATAATAATAATAATAATAATAATAATAATAATAATAATAATAATAATAATAATAATAATAATAATAATAATAATAATAATAATAATAATAATAATAATAATAATAATAATAATAATAATAATAATAATAATAATAATAATAATAATAATAATAATAATAATAATAATAATAATAATAATAATAATAATAATAATAATAATAATAATAATAATAATAATAATAATAATAATAATAATAATAATAATAATAATAATAATAATAATAATAATAATAATAATAATAATAATAATAATAATAATAATAATAATAATAATAATAATAATAATAATATAATAATAATAATAATAATAATAATAATAATAATAATAATAATAATAATAATAATAATAATAATAATAATAATAATAATAATATAATAATAATAATAATAATAATAATAATAATAATAATAATAATAATAATAATATAATAATAATAATAATAATAATAATAATAATAATAATAATAATAATAATAATAATAATAATAATAATAATAATAATAATAATAATAATAATAATAATAATAATAATAATAATAATAATAATAATAATAATAATAATAATAATAATAATAATAATAATAATAATAATAATAATAATAATCAAATAATAATAATAATAATAATAATAATAATAATAATAATAATAATAATAATAATAATAATAATAATAATAATAATAATAATAATGTGATCCCTCAGCAAATAATTTGTGGCTTAAATTTGCTAAACTAGCACAATTCGCAAAAAGGAGAGATTACAAATAAGACAAGGAAAAATGTATAACAGTCTTATGTTAGCTCAATTTTGCAAAAAATACTCATTTAAATTCCTAGCTTTGACAGATATTAACCTTTGATTTTTCATACTATTCCATACTGAGGAGGTAATTTTTCAATGGAATAAAAAATTTTTGGCATTTTTAGCGATAATTTTTCATTATCTATTATCGAAGTAAGTTTTATGTAGTAATAATGTCGTATTTTACGCCTAGAAACACACATTTTTTTGCGCAATGTTCGATTCCGAAAAACTAAATAAATTTTTAAAAAGCCTACAAGGAAAACTATGGAAACTTATATGCTTGCCGGTCTTATTAGTTATTATTACAGGAAATGTCATTTAAAGAAATGCATTTTAAAAAAATAAGTTAACTTTTTGGGAAAGAGAACTGGTGTTTGTGTCATGTGATATGTATTCTTTCATTGAATTTCGAATTTCATAAGCGTGAAAACAACTTTCGCAATCTCCAGAAGATTATCTTTAAAAATAACCTTCTGGAGGAATTTTTCATATCTTGAAAAATGTAAGAAGTATTCGTCAGTTCATTACGAGAAATTCTGCTTTTCCTAATTTTGAATTCTCTAGTACTTATTTATGGCATCGAAGTGAACATTTTAGAAAATTGCATTCATCAGAGTTTCCTAATGAATTGCATTACTTCGATAAAATTTGAATAGTACTGGTGATTAGGCAATTATCATAGCTTTTCACAGCAGGGCAGCCGAGACGCACAATTATTTAACTCTTTTTCCAAATTATTTTCTGCATCGCTTTACTTCATATGTAATCGAGTAGTTGAATCTGATTATAATAACCAAAACCCATCATTTCTTATGCTACCTGTATTATCTATTGCCCTTTTAACACGGAATTATAGAGTTCGAAAAATGTAATATTTTTTGATATATCAAGAATATATAACAAATTGAAAAACTAAACTAAACTGCATGTTAAAATTATATTTGCCCAACTTTTGAGCAGTTAAGTGAAAAGAACAAACCATATCACAACAGGGATAGCTCAAGGGTATTGTTGTACTCGAATAATGCGCCGGTGAACTTCGAGATCGATAATGCAGATCTGGGATTGACAACGGTCCTTCTGGAAGGGACATAGTTTCGTTTCTGCTTTTCAGATTACTGAAAATATGCATCAATACACATGAAACATCACTGCTAAGCACGAAAGCACTAGGAAGGAGTTACATAAAAATAAATCTTGTTGAAATAATTGCATTTGACCATAGTTAAATACATTAATATTCCTTTCGAAATATTTTACGGACTCATTACTGCATTAAAATTAAATTTGGTTAGAACTTATTTATGATCGACAATAGTTTAAATAAGACGATGTCACTTCCTCAAAAAGATCATAAAGCGGGTCACTTCATATACTCATCATGCTTTCTAGCAAGAACAATACAAGAGCATTAAAATGAAGTTATGTTTTCAAAAATATTATGCAAAAAGCTTGCGTAAATGTGATTCATAATATTCCTACAATTTGCAGTGAAATCAGTTATGTGCTTAAGTGCTTTCGATTCTTATGTTTTGATATTCATTTAGTTATGTTTTAGGATTTCATTTCATTAATAAATATGAATTTTAGTAATAAATTCATATCAATAGGAAAAAACTTTTTAAATGACCGATAACATTTGATAACAGCGAAATTCTAATTTATAGAACGAAATTTTCACAAATTCATCGTCCTTTCACGATAATCTTCTTAATTATATTTGAACAAATAAAATCGTAAAAGTAATATATTTTGATCAGCTATACGAATTCAATTATCTATTTAGTTTATTTTCATTTAACCGTTCCAATTTTTTCTAAACTGAAAAGAGCAAATAAAATATAAAGCTTTCTCGAGGTAGTTATAGTTGTAACAATTAAAGAAGGAAAAGTGAAAGGAAGCAACGAAACAGAAAAGTTCTCTAAACCAATTGGGAGTAACGATAAGACATCAAATTTTGGAGTAAGATATAATATAACATTCTTCCTTCCATCCAAACTGTGCTGAATTGGTCCCTCGCGACTTCAGTTTATATGTTTTTGGTCAACAAATTAATGATATCAAGATATAGTGTTATTGCTATACATGCACTTGTCACTGGTTGGTTGAATGATTAAATGACAAATTTCGGAAATTAATATTTTTGTACTTGAAAAATGGAGTTTCGTGTTGAATATTATCCAAATTCATTAACGTTTTAGAAACATCAATGACGTCTCGAAAACAACGAAAGAATAATGAGACCGGACAGGATATGTGTGAAAGTAAGATGGACAATGGACTGCTAGCATGGGAGTATTACTTATCAAATAAGTAAGTTTTTCAAGGAATTCCATAATATTTGCATATATTTTGATAAATTTTGCAAAATCCGCATTTTAAAGGATTTAATAGATGCAAACTTTATGCCAAGATTGAAATCAAGAAGGGAAATTGCTCAAATGTCAGTAAAGAGTCCATGCATAAAGTATACATCGCAGATCTATTTCCATGCTTGCAATTACTTTTATTAACTGCTCATGGTTACTGCAGTATCACTCTTAACAATCCTTATCAATCTATGCATGTTATCAATCTCTATTGTTTTCATTCCGATCTCTCTTACTCTCTTTGCTCTCAATGCATTCCTCTTACTCTCACGGAGAGCTAGCTACGTCGTACTGTCGGCTGCGTTAAATGCAACTAAGCTTGGAGGACACGTCGTTATACTCGCTAATATGGTGGAGTTGTATAATATGAGCATTTGAGGTGGTAAATTGTGGGGTGGGAGTATTAATATAAGATGTGTAATGTTGTTGCAGGATAGCTGCCTGATATGGTATTAGCATCGATGTCCTCAGATGCAGAATGTTACGATGGGGACATCTTTGAAATAGAAGATTTCACTATTGTTACAATCAAAGAAGGTTTGTGTGCTGAGTTGGAACAGTTGTTACGTAAATGGGAGCTTAGTGGTGACAATGGCAACAACTATTCCTTCACAAAGGTATGCAAATGTTAATTATATTATCAGGGGAATTCTATGTAGTGAGCACATGTTTTAGGCAATGTTAGCGGAGTGCCAGTGGGATTCGAAATATGATAAAATTACATACGGAAACAATCATTTAATTGTTAGCTATTACTGGCCAAAAAATCTTCAAAGAATTGAACAAGTTACGTCAAATGCAGTTAATATGGACGCTTCGGATTCTTTTCTAAGCAATGCTGCGCGACTATTTTGGTCATCTGAGACGGACTTTTGTCCAGGATCCATTATTTGCAACCAAGTGAGTCAGAAAAATTTTATGAGCATTTAGAATATGGTTTAGGAAGGGAACATCTGCAGTAGTTGTTCCGTGTTCTTAATATATGTTGCATGTAAATTTGTAATTATTGCAGTTT